AGTATATTGTGAAACTTAAGCATTTCATACTGGCGTATAAATATTAATGTGTTTATATTGTGTGCACTTGTTATTTGTTGATTCATGTCACAATATATGAACTTAATTGTCACATTATCAAATCATTCACGATCGACCGCTGTGCATGCGTGGAGTAATGCAGCTACCTACCAGCTAGAACTGATCGGCTTAGGCGATTTGTTGAAACCTCAAGGTGAAATTTAGTTACGCGACGCCTCACGCGCACGTGCCTATAAACTGAGAACGCGTGAAGCATTCGTGAAATGCAACCATCAGACCACCCATATCGTGGAGTCCGCTCAACACGCCCATTGACGTGAGTATTGTTTTCATGATCGAGCGCACCGATAAAAATTATTGAATGAAAGAAAACGGCTCATTCAACAAGAAAAAAATATATATCTATGTACAAAATGAATAATTACATATAATTTTATTCACATGTTTAAAATTAATAATGTGCAGTGACAAAAGAAAAATAGCTTGAAATAAATTTAATCCGTCAAATCGCAATAAATAATCAACACAATGTGCGGAATACTTGAAATATTTTATCTGCTTTAAAATGAAAGATTTTAATCATACTAATAATAACATTTTAATAATATTATTTATATCGAATTATCTCGAATAATTGTAATAATAATCTTCAACAATAAAAACAGTCGTCATGATGTATTTTAGGAAACATAAGCGTTATATAATTAGTCACACTCGGCTTCACAGCGGGAATCGCGCCTCCAAGGGTATTGTACTTTATATCACGAAAGTAGCGCGAAGCACGGTAAAGCAATTGATCAATATAGCGCCAACAATCCCTTGTAGCTACCCCTCCGCAGCTTCCAAGCTCCGTCTATCCCTTCCTCCATCTTCTTTCGTCCAAGTCCCAACGGCGTGGAGAGAACGCACCCCCATAACAAGTTTCTTACTCATCTTTTTCGTTCAATAACTCTCCATCCAAGATGGCCACCGCGGTCGTCCCTCATTGGCTGGGGGAAGGGTCGCAGGGGTCTGTACGGGGTTTGGGTGGTTGACCCGTAGTGGTGCGGTGCGGGGCGCAGGAGGGGGTTGGAAGCAGTGACGCTATCTATCTTCCGTTGCCTTGGCTCGGCGTAACATAAGGCAAGATAAATTGCGGGATCTCCCGGGTTCTTGAACCTTTCTGGCAAATTGCATAAGAATATCCACCCTCCACCCCACAGGCTGCCTCCTCTCTGCTCCTCTCCCCTGACTGCCCCCGCGGCTCCAATGGAATTGGAATTAACTCGAATAAATCACCTCTGCGCGGCTCTGTACGGATACGCAAGAGCTTCGGCCGTGTTTCTGCTCCACGAAGTTGAAATTTCTTTTAGTGCAATACAATGTTATAGTATTACAAACATTCATATTTCTTAAATTCTTTATTAATAGAAATGAAATAAAATATAAGTTTCGTTAAATACAAACAACAAATGTCATATTACGTATTGTGACATTCTTCTTTTTCAATGCAGCAATTAAAACAAGATCATTCAACAAGATTATAATAAGATCTTCTCTTGTTTTAAAAATTTTGCGAAAGTTATAAACATTAATAATCATATTGTTAAAAAGAATATTATAATATTTGTCTTAAAAAACATTGTTATCTTTTAATTAATTTTATCATAATTTTTTGTATAAAGTTTGCTAATTAATATACTGAAAATTTTAGTTTAATTTAATATCTTTAACTTCTGAGAATCATGATATAATAATATAAAAATAGTTGATAATCAAAAATAGTTGTATTAAAGGTGCATAAAATAATCGAGATATTAACTATTATTTATTTTAGAAGTTTATAAAAAATATATATTTGTATAAAAAATAAATGAAAGAAAAGAGGTACTATAAGATATCAATCTTGATGTCATATTTGTTGCTTTCATAAATTTGTCTTTATCTAAAGTGTTGAGTTTCTTCTTGAATTCTTTGTACATTGTCATTAATCATTAAATCAATTTATAAAGGAATGTATTAAATTTTTTTAATTGAAGAATATCTGGATTGATACGTTCAATCTGACGTCTAAAAGATATCATCAAATAAGGAAACATACATGATACTGACTATATGTATGTATGTATGTATGTATGTATGCGCGCGCATATCATGACCGATTGATTAGACAACGTATTTGTTACGTAAAATCAATAGAAGTAATCTAATTTATATTATTTTATATCCAAATTTATTTCTCAAGTTTTATCTTTTAATTTCTTTATTTCGCGTAAAAATTATTTTATAAATAAATAATATATATCACATAAAAGATAATGTACAATATTATTCATAAATTATTTAGTGTGGAAAATCAAAGTGTCTTACTAGGATACATCAGACACGAATGAGTGCATAAACCAAACTGTCTTTTCAATCAATATCCTAATACGATTTATCTCAAGCTATTATCTACTTCATTTGTCACAATTACGGGGCTCGTAACCCTTTTGCGCGCATGCTTGTTGCGATATCTCGATCGCATGCCATCAACATGAC